AATATAAAAGCTATCCCACTCACAAAACAGGCCACAGTGTCTATCAATCTCCAGTTCCAGACAGAAGTAGTGGCTTTAAATGACATAATGTATTGGATAAAGAGACACTGTACAGTTGTGAGTGACCCACAAAAGATTTATGATGAGATTGGGCTATGGAATGGTGGATGGAAACTGCAAGTTAAACTGTGGCAGACAGGGGGCGTTACTCATCATTTACCACACAGTTTTTTTATTGGTACGGACAGAGGCATTTGCTATTATCCAGGACAGCCTAGAAGCTGTTATAAATGTGGGTCAACAAGGCATTTGGCCTATTGCTGTGATAAAATAAAGTGCTCTCAATGTAACTGTCTGGGCCATATGAGATCAGAATGCAAGCAGGACGTAATATGCAACTTATGTTCTGTACAAGGTCATACCTTTAGAGAGTGCCCAGAAGCACACCATAATAAGATAAACGACTGTGTGCTAGATTTGGAAAGCATACTTACTGAAGCAATGGAAGAGCCCAATACAACTGAGAAACAAGATACAAATGAGCCACAGAAAGATGACATTACTGAGCCAGAAAACATCTTAAGGAAAGACGCCAAGGAAATACAATCTCCATTAAATGTTGAAAAGGGTCCAATATTAGAAAAAAACAGTGAGGAATTTCAGTTGGTGCAAGGAAAACACAAGAAGAAATTAAAATATTCAGGTACTCGTGAGTCACAAAAACCTCCTCAGATGCTTTCGTCATTTGAGATAACTGCTGGTCGCTATGCTATCCTGGATGAACCTAGTGAAGATGCCATGGAGTTTAAACAGAGTGAAGGATCTCTCTGGAAAAGGCGATCCACAGAGGAATTGCAGTTGTTCTGTGAAGAAGAAGCAACTGCCTCTGTTTCAATAAAACGATGGGGATCTCAAGGTGACAATATAGGAGCAGTAAAGAAGAAGCGCTGAGTCTCCTTGGTTTTCATGACTTTACATATATGCTCGCTTAATGTCAACAGTTTGAGATCAAAAGAGAGAAGAGACTTACTCTATACTGTTCTGAAAGAACAATCATTTGATGTGTGTTTATTACAGGAGACAAGATTAAGAAATAATAGCCAGGTTTTTTGTGCTAAAAGAGAGTGGACAATGGGCCCATCTTATTGGTCATTTGGACTGGAAAGTTATGATGGTGTGGGTATTTTGTTTAAGAACTGTGATTTTCAAATTGATCGGATTGTGGAAATTGTTGCAGGTAGATGCCTTTTGTTAGATTTTACGCTTAATGATGTGAGATATCGAATAATTAATATATATGCTCCTCAGATAATAGCAGGTAGGAAAAACGTGTTTTTAAGTGTAAAACCATATTGTTTCACATCCAAAGTGTTAATTATGGGAGGTGATTTTAACGGTGTGGTAAATAATGAAGATCGAAATAGTAATTATAAAAATTTAAAATATGATGAAAACTTTCTAAAAACTCTGATCAGTCAAGCTGGTCTGATTGATACTTTTAAATATAATTATCCTACACAGCGAGGGTTTACATATCATAAAGGGAGGTGGGCAAGTCGTATAGATAGACTCTATGTAAAAAATCAAACTTCATCTTTTAGATATAATTTAGTCTTGGTAGAGTTTTCAGATCATGATATGATTAGTCTGTCCTTAAAGGTAAAGGAAGGAATAATATATGGGAAAGGTATCTGGAAACTAAACTCAAGAATACTTGATAATGATAAAGTTAAGCAAGAATTCATTACTTTTTATGAAGATCGAAAAACCACGCAGTGCTTATACGACACGATGTCGAGTTGGTGGGAACAAACAAAAAAAGATATTAAAAGTTTTTTTAAATCAAAAGCTAGAAAAGAAGGAAATCGTCAATATATGCAATATCTTGCTCTAAGACTTAGACTTAGTAGATTATATTCCTTGGTCAATAATGGTGAGACTGTGAATTCAAATAGCATTAATCAAGTTAAGGATAAAATGAAAAAACTTCAATATGACCGTATGATCTCTCTAAAAGCTGAAAATGAATTCGATAGTTGGGGTTTCACAGCCCCAGATCCTTTTCAAGCGTGTAAGGAAAGAGTATGTAAGAAAGCCATAGCAGGACTGGTAGATCAAGATGGTGAAACACAAACAGAAAGTAAGGACATTATAAATATTGTCACAAAATATTTTAAACAATTGTTTGCAAGACAGCCTATTGCAAATGAAAATATTGTAAAATATTTGCAAGATGTTGATAATCCGGTATTAAATGCAGTGGATGCTGAGACCATGGTTAAGCCTATAACAGAGGAAGAAGTTAGAAATAGCATTCAATCATTAGTTGGGAAGAAAAGTCCAGGATTGGATGGGATAACTGCAGAGTTTTATAAAGTGTTTTTAGATCTTTTGGTAACGGATCTTGTAATGCTATATAATGAAGTGCTAACTCTGGGACAGTTGCCGCCCTCACAGTATGCCTCAGTCTTGGTACTTTTAGCTAAAAGTGGTAATTTGAATGAACTAAAGAACTGGCGTCCGTTATCATTATTGAATACTGATTACAAAATTCTTGCAAAAGTCATGTTTATGAGGCTTAGTGCGGTGGCTGAAATTTTGGTAAGTCCGTGTCAGTCGTGTGCAGTTAAGAATCGTAGCATACAGGATACACTGTTGCTAGTAAGAGAGGTGGTGGAATACGCTAAGCAGCAGAGAGAAGGTATTTATTTGGTAGGACTAGACCAGTCCAAAGCATTTGACCGAGTACATCATGAATTTTTATTTGAGACTTTACGGAGATATGGCATTCCTAATACTTTTATTAAATGGTTGAAGATATTATATAAAGAAGCAATATGTTTCCCTTTAATTAATGGTAGTTTGGGAGACCCTTTTCAGGTTGAATCTGGAGTTCGTCAGGGTTGTCCTATAAGTCCTTTGCTTTATGTTTTTAGCATTGACCCTCTATTAAGGAAAATAAAAGGAAACCATAATTTTCAAGGCCTAGAAGTGAAAGTAGAAGGTGTTTCCGAGAGAGTCAAAGTTTGTGCTTATGCAGATGATATTTCTGTTTTTTTGAAATCAGAAGCAGATAACCAATTGTTACAAAGGGAACTTAAAAGTTATTCTCAAATTTCCAACTCTATGGTTAATATGGAGAAGAGTGAAGCATTGTGGCTGGGGGATAATGCAGAAGCTTTTCAAATCCCTTTTAAAAGAAAGGATAAAACAATCAAAGTGTTGGGTATTACATATGGATGTGTTGAAGACATTGCCCAGAGAAATTGGGATGATAAATTTAAAATATTCTCAGATAAAATACACAAATGGAAAAATTGGAAATGGTCTTACCAAAAGAAAATTCAAGCTATCAAACGATTTTTATTCCCCATTTTTATTTATACAAGTTTTGTCTTTCCATTACCTGATCAATTAGTGGTTAAGATAACCGGTTTGTTGTTCCAGCTAATATGGGGTAATCGTTTAAATATTGTTAAACGTAACATTTCCTATCTCCATAGGAAAGATGGAGGATTAGGCATGTTGTGTCCAGAACTTTTTTACAATCTCTTGTTTATAACCAAGAATTTAAGTTTTTTTAAATCTGGTAGAACAGATTTATGGGGGATCTTATATAAAAACCAAATTAATCACTTTGTTGGAGTTTGGACAAGAGGTGTAAAGATCAAAAGATTGTCTGGTAAGGTTAAACATTGCTCTCTATATGTTCAGCAATGTATAAAGTTGTTGCTGAGATGGCAAATTTCATATGAAGATATCACTGGGCTAGATAGAAAACAATTATATCATGTTCTGTTAAATAAGTACTATAGTGCCCAGTTGGTTTTAAAAGACTGCCCTAATACCTTAATGAAAAAAGCCATTCAGAATGTTAATAGCACGAGAATACCAATTAAATTGAGAGATGTTATTTGGCTTAGTTTTCAAGGAAAATTATACGTTCGCTCTAATTTGAAATTTAAAAAACTTGAGGAACGAAATTGTCCGAGGGAAGAATGTTCAGGGATATTAGAAACAATGTCTCATTTTTTGTGTGACTGTCCTTTTAGTTTAGCAATATGGTCAGAAATGTCCACACTTCTTAAAATACCAAATTTTAAAGGACAGTCCTATGCTGAATTAGTATATGGAAATTTCAATTGGGCAGATAAGATTAACAAATGCACTTTATATGTAATTAATTGTATTGTTATATATCATTTATGGCAAGCGAGGTGTTTAAAATCATCAAAACAAAATTTTAACTACGGACTCTGTGATTAATCGGATAATTAAAGACATAAAAGATGTATATGTAAAAGAACAAAATACAGATTGTTGGGAAAATATAGACATGACATTTTGTTTTTAATTGTATTTTTGTATATGTTTTTGATACATTGAACACTGTTTTGTAATTTGTTGTAAGAAAATTTAATAAAAAAAATTTCCTCCTATTACTCCATATAACCCCTCCTATTTCTCCATATAACCCTCCCTATAACTCCACCTATCACTCCATATAACCCTCCCTATAACTCCTCCTATTACTCCATATAACCCTCCCTATAACCCCTCCTATTACTCCATATAACCCTCCCTATAACTCCTCCTATTACTCCATATAACCCTCCCTATAACCCCTCCTATTACTCCATATAACTCCTCCTATTACTCCATATAACCTCTCCCTATAACTCCTATGTGTTGGAGCTCCTGTAGGGGGACTGAGGATGGCCTCAGACCCAGGGGGGAGTGTTGGTGTTCTGGATACTAGTCCAGCTCTAGTCCCAGGCCTGGAGGTGTTGGAAGACCAAGAAGCCCAAACAAATGAAAGCAGACCTTTTAAGGAAGGTTTAATTAGTAAAGCTTTGACGGTTTTGGACAAAAGATTGGGAGATGCTTCTGCTAATTATCAGACTTTATGTGCAATGTATGATGATTTGTACAAGCAGAAGCAGGATTTGGTAAAGAAAGTGGATGAAGTAACCCAGGAATCTGAGAGAACAGGTTTTCTGCAGCAGATTGATCAGATCCAGGTGGAGATCGACTCCCTACAAACGACAATGGATGTAAAAGAGGAAAGCATTGAAAAACTGAAAAGTGCAATAAAAGGTGAGGAAAGAAAATGTTATAAAATGCAAAAGTTAAACCCATTAAGGATTAAGAAGGTACCCACACAACCGCTAAAAGACAAGCAAGTAGGGGTAATGATAAAGAAATTAAGTGATAAAATGTGCCCAGTGACTTTACCTGCTCAAACAGGAGAGGCTGCTGCTGAATGTGAATCTGAGAGTTCACCTGGGTGCAATAAACCAGCAGCCCTCAGCATTGCCATACCTGAATGCTTAAATGAAATAACTGTCCATAAGCTGAGATCTAGGAGCATAAAGCGTGTTGTGGAAAGACTTATTGAGAAAGAAAATGATTTGCAAAAACCTCTTGGTGTAAGCATTGCAAGAGATACAACACAAAGCAGGGATTCCACAGCAAAGCAAAATCTGGAGGAATCACCAGATAGACATCTGCAATCTGGAACTGGCTCTAGCAATGCGGTAGGACAAAAACATGGACCGGATACAGGTACTAAAATGGGAACAGGAACCAGCAAACAGAGCAGCACACAGGTAAATGAACAACAACCTGCAGCAAGCGGGAATTTGCTTTCAAATGTAGCAAGATCAAGGGGAGATGTATCTAAGCGGAAGAATGCAGTGCGCCTGTTGTTCACAGGACCAGAACCTGATATTCCAGACAGAATATTCATTGGTCGCAAACTCTTAATGGAATTCATGGGTTTTTCTGCAAGTGAAATATTTGCATTTATTCACTTTCCTGGATCAAGACAATTTGACATTAGTTTTAAACTGATGCAGAACCTGGATATGTTTTGGGTGATTTTCCATAGGACAAAATCAGATGGTATCTGGAAAAATATAAAAGCTATCCCACTCACAAAACAGGCTACAGTGTCCATCAATCTCCAGTTCCAGACAGAAGTAGTGGCTTTAAATGACATAATGTATTGGATAAAGAGACACTGTACAGTTGTGAGTGACCCACAAAAGATTTATGATGAGATTGGGCTATGGAATGGTGGATGGAAACTGCAAGTTAAACTGTGGCAGACAGGGGGCGTTACTCATCATTTACCACACAGTTTTTTTATTGGTACGGACAGAGGCATTTGCTATTATCCAGGACAGCCTAGAAGCTGTTATAAATGTGGGTCAACAAGGCATTTGGCCTATTGCTGTGATAAAATAAAGTGCTCTCAATGTAACTGTCTGGGCCATATGAGATCAGAATGCAAGCAGGACGTAATATGCAACTTATGTTCTGTACAAGGTCATACCTTTAGAGAGTGCCCAGAAGCACACCATAATAAGATAAACGACTGTGTGCTAGATTTGGAAAGCATACTTACTGAAGCAATGGAAGAGTCCAATACAACTGAGAAACAAGATACAAATGAGCCACAGAAAGATGACATTACTGAGCCAGAAAACATCTTAAGGAAAGACGCCAAGGAAATACAATCTCCATTAAATGTTGAAAAGGGTCCAATATTAGAAAAAAACAGTGAAGAATTTCAGTTGGTGCAAGGAAAGCACAAGAAGAAATTAAAATATTCAGGTACTCGTGAATCACAAAAACCTCCTCAGATGCTTTCGTCATTTGAGATAACTGCTGGTCGCTATGCTATCCTGGATGAACCTAGTGAAGATGCCATGGAGTTTAAACAGAGTGAAGGATCTCTCTGGAAAAGGCGATCCACAGAGGAATTGCAGTTGATCTGTGAAGAAGAAGCAACTGCCTCTGTTTCAATAAAACGATGGGGATCTCAAGGTGACAATATAGGAGCAGTAAAGAAGTGCTGAGTCTCCTTGGTTTTCATGTAGCCCCATGTAGCCAGGCGCAGCTAAGCGAAAAAAGGCCTTGACAGGGGTTAGGAGGCGGGCTTAGGAGGAAGTAAGCAAGGGAGTGGAGTTATGTGTAAGTAGGTTTGGTTATTTAAATGAGCAGCCATTTTAGGTAAGTCATTCTAATTTCCTACCTGGTTAAGTTTGTCCCTCCCACCCTCCCTGTTTATGTGTGGTGGTGTCCCGTTTTTTCACAGCGGCGGGATGGGGAGCTGAAGGAAAGGAAATAGGCTCCCCAGGATGAACGTAATGGAAAACAAACAAGTGGTGGTCATCGGTGGTTGATAGGTTTCGAGTCCTGTCGGTGGCTCAGAACCTGGTGGGGTAGGGGTATCCGGGTATAACCCTGCCGTGGCTAATGGATGGTTGGCACTTTACATCGATTGGAATAATGTTGATGTATGTTATATATATATATGTTTATTTATATGGGGGTCATTGCCCTTTATATGTTAATGGAAGGAATAGGATGCGAGGGCGGAGTATGGGGGGCAATGACCCATGTTTTACTTGTTAAGTTATTATTATTGTTTGTTTGATTAATAAAGCTGTGGACAAATTTCCCCATATCCCTTAGTGTCCGTGCGTTATTGGGTTAGGTTATGGGGTTATTGTCCTGGATTCCGACTGCCCAAAATGGCGACTATACACCTGTCATGACTTTACATATATGCTCGCTTAATGTCAACAGTTTGAGATCAAAAGAGAGAAGAGACTTACTCTATACTGTTCTGAAAGAACAATCATTTGATGTGTGTTTATTACAGGAGACAAGATTAAGAAATAATAGCCAGGTTTTTTGTGCTAAAAGAGAGTGGACAATGGGCCCATCTTATTGGTCATTTGGACTGGAAAGTTATGATGGTGTGGGTATTTTGTTTAAGAACTGTGATTTTCAAATTGATCGGATTGTGGAAATTGTTGCAGGTAGATGCCTTTTGTTAGATTTTACGCTTAATGATGTGAGATATCGAATAATTAATATATATGCTCCTCAGATAATAGCAGGTAGGAAAAAAAAAGTGTTTTTAAGTGTAAAACCATATTGTTTCACATCCAAAGTGTTAATTATGGGAGGTGATTTTAACGGTGTGGTAAATAATGAAGATCGAAATAGTAATTATAAAAATTTAAAATATGATGAAAATTTTTTAAAAACTTTGGTCAGTCAAGCTGGTCTGATTGACACTTTTAAATATAATTATCCTACACAGCGAGGGTTTACATATCATAAAGGGAGGTGGGCAAGTCGTATAGATAGACTCTATGTAAAAAATCTAACTTCATCTTTTAGATATAATTTAGTCTTGGTAGAGTTTTCAGATCATGATATGATTAGTCTGTCCTTAAAGGTAAAGGAAGGAATAATATATGGGAAAGGTATCTGGAAACTAAACTCAAGAATACTTGATAATGATAAAGTTAAGCAAGAATTCATTACTTTTTATGAAGATCGAAAAACCACGCAGTGTTTATACGACACAATGTCGAGTTGGTGGGAACAAATAAAAAAAGATATTAAAAGTTTTTTTTAAATCAAAAGCTAGAAAAGAAGGAAATCGTCAATATATGCAATATCTTGCTCTAAGACTTAGACTTAGTAAATTATATTCCTTGGTCAATAATGGTGAGACTGTGAATTCAAATAGCATTAATCAAGTTAAGGATAAAATGAAAAAACTCCAATATAACCGTATGATCTCTCTAAAAGCTGAAAATGAATTCGATAGTTGGGGTTTCACAGCCCCAGATCCTTTTCAAGCGTGTAAGGAAAGAGTATGTAAGAAAGCCATAGCAGGACTGGTAGATCAAGATGGTGAAACACAAACAGAAAGTAAGGACATTATAAATATTGTCACAAAATACTTTAAGCAGTTGTTTGCAAGACAGCCTATTGCAAATGAAAATATTGTAAAATATTTGCAAGATGTTGATAATCCGGTATTAAACGCAGTGGATGCTGAGACCATGGTTAAGCCTATAACAGAGGAAGAAGTTAGAAATAGCATTCAATCATTAGTTGGGAAGAAAAGTCCAGGATTGGATGGGATAACTGCAGAGTTTTATAAAGTATTTTTAGATCTTTTGGTAACGGACCTTGTAATGCTATATAATGAAGTGCTAACTCTGGGACAGTTGCCGTCCTCACAGTATGCCTCAGTCTTGGTACTTTTATCTAAAAGTGGTAATTTGAATGAACTAAAGAACTGGCGTCCGTTATCATTATTGAATACTGATTACAAAATTCTTGCAAAGGTCATGTTTATGAGGCTTAGTGCGGTGGCTGAAATTTTGGTAAGTCCGTGTCAGTCGTGTGCAGATAAGAATCGTAGCATACAGGATACACTGTTGCTAGTAAGAGAGGTGGTGGAATATGCTAAGCAGCAGAGAGAAGGTATTTATTTGGTAGGACTAGACCAGTCCAAAGCATTTGACCGAGTACATCATGAATTTTTATTTGAGACTTTACGGAGATATGGCATTCCTAATACTTTTTTACTAAATGGTGGAAGATATTATATAAAGAAGAAATATGTTTCCCTTTAATTAATGGTAGTTTGGGAGACCCTTTTCAGGTTGAATCTGGAGTTCGTCAGGGTTGTCCTATAAGTCCTTTGCTTTATGTTTTTAGCATTGACCCTCTATTAAGGAAAATAAAAGGAAACCATAATTTTCAAGGCCTAGAAGTGAAAGTAGAAGGTGTTTCTGAGAGAGTCAAAGTTTGTGCTTATGCAGATGATATTTCTGTTTTTTTGAAATCAGAAGCAGATAACCAATTGTTACAAAGGGAACTTAAAAGTTATTCTCAAATTTCCAACTCTATGGTTAATATGGAGAAGAGTGAAGCATTGTGGCTGGGGGATAATGCAGAAGCTTTTCAAATCCCTTTTAAAAGAAAGGATAAAACAATCAAAGTGTTGGGTATTACATCTGGATGTGTTGAAGACATTGCCCAGAGAAATTGGGATGATAAATTTAAAATATTCTCAGATAAAATACACAAATGGAAAAATTGGAAATGGTCTTACCAAAAGAAAATTCAAGCTATCAAACTATTTTTATTTCCCATTTTTATTTATACTAGTTTTGTCTTTCCATTACCTGATAAATTTGTGGTTAAGATAACCGGTTTGTTGTTCCAGCTAATATGGGGTAATCGTTTATATATTGTTAAACGTAACATTTCATATCTCCATAGGAAAGATGGAGGATTAGGCATGTTGTGTCCAGAACTTTTTTACAATCTCTTGTTTATAACCAAGAATTTAAGTTTTTTTAAATCTGGTAGAACAGATTTATGGGGAGTCTTATATAAAAACCAAATTAATCACTTTGTTGGAGTTTGGACAAGAGGTGTAAAGATCAAAAGATTGTCTGGTAAGGTTAAACATTGCTCTCTATATGCTCAGCAATGTATAAAGTTGTTGCTGAGATGGCAAATTTCATATGAAGATATCACTGGGCTAGACAGAAAACAATTATATCATGTTCTGTTAAATAAGTACTATAGTGCCCAGTTGGTTTTAAAAGACTGCCCTAATACCTTAATGAAAAAAGCCATTCAGAATGTTACTAGCACGAGAATACCAGTTAAATTGAGAGATGTTATTTGGCTTAGTTTTCAAGGAAAATGATACGTTCGCTCTAATTTGAAATTTAAAAAACTTGAGGAACGAAATTGTCCGAGGGAAGAATGTTCAGGGATGTTAGAAACAATGTCTCATTTTTTGTGTGACTGTCCCTTTAGTTTAGCAATATGGTCAGAAATGTCCACACTTCTTAAAATACCAAATTTTAAAGGACAGTCCTATGCTGAATTAGTATATGGAAATTTCAATTGGGCAGATAAGATTAACAAATGCACTTTATATGTAATTAATTGTATTGTAATATATCATTTATGGCAAGCGAGGTGTTTAAAATCATCAAAACAAATTATTTTAACTACGGACTCTGTGATTAATCGGATAATTAAAGACATAAAAGATGTATATGTAAAAGAACAAACTACGGATTGTTGGGAAAATATAGACATTTAACCCCCATAACTGCTCCTATTACTCCATATAGCCTCCCTATAACTCCTCCTATTACTCCATATAACCTCCCTATAACCCCTCCTATTACTCCATATAACCCTCCCTATAACCCCTCCTATTACTCCATATAACCCTCCTTATAACTCCTCCTATTACTCCATATAACCCTCCTTATAACTCCTCCTATTAGTCCATATAACCCTCCCTATAACTCCTCCTATTACTCCATATAACCTCCCTATAACTCCTCCTATTACTCCATATAACCCTCCCTATAACCCCTCCTATTTCTCTATATAACCCTCCCTATAACTCCATCTATCACTCCATATAACCCTCCCTATAACTCCACCTATCACTCCATATAACTCTCCCTATAACTCCACCTATCACTCCATATAACTCTCCCTATAACACCTCCTATTACTCCATATAACCCTTCCTATTTCTCCATATAACCCTCCCTATAACTCCACCTATCACTCCATATAACCCTCCCTATATCCCCTCCTATTACTCCCTATAACCCTTCCTATAACTCCTCCTATTTCTCTATATAACTCTTCCTATTATTTCATGTAACCTTCCCTATAACACCTCCTAATAGTCCATGTAACGCCTCCCATTGCCTCATTATAACTCCTCCTATTGCTCCAATTGCTCCATACAATGTCTCCCCAGTAAGTTTCCTGTACCTATAGCTCGGTATTGGAAGGGTCAGACGTGCTGGCATAGTGTGAATGAAGCAGCCAATGATGTTATTAATTGCTTAGCAAACAGGCATGTGTCAGAGTTTATCAGTCATGCACTGAAACATTTCTAGGCAGATAGATATAACTATTCTGTAGGCAGCTCACATAGAGGGTTTGATAAAGTCACCGCCCTTTTGTCCTTCTCAGTATATAGAGAATTCTCCTGAGCTATGCAGACAGTCTCCTGGCATTCATCCCGCAGGATAGAGATGGACTCTGCACTCAAGCTGGTTTTCTTGTTGTCTTTGTGCTTGGCTGGTAAGGACATGAATGTGGAATATATCAAAGGTGGTGGGATACGAATGAGAAGTCCTGTTTCATGATCCATTTATAATCTGTGGGTCATTCTACTGGCTTTAAATTGAACCATGGATTAAACTAGGTATCATTACTAACATGGAAAGTGGCTGAATGATCCAGGTGTATCAGATAATGGTAGATTTCATTGCAATGAATTCAATAGCTCCAGCTAATACAAGTAGAATGACCTTGATGTGTACAAAGTATCTCTGACTTTAATTCATTTAAATAAAACTGTAGGGAATTGAGAATATGGAACAGGTTAAAGCCTGGCATGGCTGGGATTGGAATTTCTCGATTTTAGTTATTTGTCTAATGTCTCTACATTAACCTAAGGTTTGCAAATACAGAATGTATGATATTGGGATTGTGTTCTCATGGCGATCAATACTTACTAATTTTCCTGTTTTGGTGCATTTTTACTTCATTGACCACAGGCAAAATGGAATATTTGTTTACCTGTGATTGTCTTTAATGTGATTAAAATGTTTATATAGTTATAGAGTGTATTCCTTTGTTAGACATAAGGATGCTTTTTGAACATGGCTGGATATCTTTGGTCCAAGGGATTTTGCTAAAAACATATTCCATCAGTCCCAGCTGTAGTTCATATCACATACTGCATTCCTACATGTTGTATTCATAAACAAATGGAATTCAGCACTTATATATCCTTGCTTGAAGTGAGATAATTCTCTAAATCTTTAGATGACCATGGTAGACACAGGGGTGAGTAATATCCGTTGAGAATTTAGATATCCTGGAATCCAAGACAGGCCAACACAACAGTTAAACATCTAATCACTCACTAGAAGAAACGCTGACACGTGCAATATATACAGAATTCCCATCTCTGTAGCTCAATGCCAGGGAACCACGATGCCACATCTCACAGAGTGACCAACCCTGGAATGACTCACGTGCCAGCCAGGGACAGGTTACCATGAAGAATCCTTGATATATGGGATAACACAGGCAGGCATGTTATATGTATACAACCAATAAAATGAAATGTTTATTCATTGTCCATTCCGTTTGTTTCGTGATCCATCCATATTCTGTTTCGAAGTTCAGAATTTCGTTTGAGTTGATCTCCCATTATTTGGAAAAATCACAACGTCGTATATTATCTGAAACACAATCATGGGTGGAATATTGCATGCGACCCACTTATCGTGACTATGTCAGCTAGTTATAATCATATATGTATTTGGTAATTATCGATAAAAGCAGTAATTATTAAGTATCCCTGCCTTTTTATTTAACTGAAAAGTGACAGATTTATTATTGTGTCAGTTTCCCAAAAATCTTTGAATTCTTTATTTGCCAAAAACATGTGCCAATGATCAATCTGTTATTTAATAGCCACCATCATACCCAGACAAATCACGTAAGAATGTTATAATAGGCTCACAGGGGTCATGCTTTTTTAGCTAAAATACCAAAACTAAAATTTAAATTTTCCAACTCTGATATTTCGAAGTAAAGTTTCCACTTTCCTTTAGCATTCTAAACCAGGAATTCTAGAACTCTGACAAAGAAATTCTAAATGCTAAGTCAAAATATCTCCACCAATAATTCATGATTCGACATACTTTGCGATAACATTTACAATTCCCGTTATCAATTCACCACAATTCTTCGTTTAATGAATACAGTCAAAAGTTGTTGATTCTTTCATCCCTTGTCTGTAACTATGTAATCATATTATACAAAGCACAAAAAGCTGAGTGTAGATGGGTTTTTTGTAATTTTTATTGTAGATTAAAGTAACGAGAATTAATGCTTAACATGATCAAATGTAATATTGTTTTAAAAGATACATGACATTGTCAGCAATGTAGTATAATAGACTGAAAAAAAGAATCAGCCTTAAAGGATCACTATAGGGTCAGGAACACCAACATGTATTCCTGACTGTATAGTGTTAAAACCACCATCTAGCCCCCCCGGGCCCCTCATGCCTCTGTAAATATAGCAAAATCTTACTGTATTCAAGCCTGAAGCTGTAACTCTGCATTCTGTTAGACTCAGAAAAACAAGCAGTCTGCTACCATCATCAGAAGTGGTAGCCTGATCCAATCCCAATGCTTCCCAATAGGATTGGCTGAGACTGACAAGGAGGCAGATCAGTGGCAGAGCCAGCATGATTCAAACACAGCCCTGGCCAATCAGCATCTCCTCATAGAGATACATTGAATCAATGTATCTCTATGAGGAAGGTTCAGTGTCTGCATGCAGAGGGAGGAGATACTGAATGTTTGGATGCATTTTAGGCAGCCATGACCCAGGAAGGATCTCTAACAGCCATCTGAGGAGTGGCCAGTGAAGTTATCACTAGGCTGTAATGTAAACACTGCGTTTTCTCTGAAAAGACAGTGTTTACAGCAAAAAGCCTGAAGGTAATGATTCTCCTAACCAGAACAAATTCAAAGAGCTGTAGTTGTTCTGGTGACTATAGTGTCCCTTTAAGAAAATTGGTAAAAACCTTCTTGACTTCAAGGTAGCAGATTTCTCCTTTTTCCTATAAGTGGTTAACCCTCATATTGTGTATTACCCACTTTAAAGGACCACTATAGTGCCAGGAAAATATTCTCGTTTTCCTGGCACTATAGTGAGGGGCAATCCAACAAACTGTAACCCCTCACCTGCGACATTCATTGAGGAGCAATAGCACCGAGGAGAGGGTTGAGGCAAAAGAAGGTTAAATTAAAAGCCTTTGCTATCTGCATCCATTATTATCTTCTGGTCTCAAGTCAGAGTAGCATATCAGAACAAAGCAGACAATGGTAAAGGATTAAAACAGCTCCATTTCAGTGGATCAGTTGGAGTGACTTGTGTGCAGTGACTGGCGAGTATCCACGTGTCTTTTCCTTCTAGTTTCACTGAGGTAGAAGCACCTGGAATAGACCGTCAAAGCGTGGTTCAAGCCTCTTTTATCACCACCCAATCACCAGGCTGCAGTTTGTGAGTTGCAGAATCAGAGTCTGGATCTGGAATAGAATCAATGACTTGTTTATGCACCCTACCTAATATTTGGTGTAAGGCCTGTACAAAGTCAATCATACTACCATGCTGCATCTGAAGGGTCTGGGGAAAATAGAGGCCTGTCTTTGGGGCACATGAAAACAGGATCTCAAAAGGTGATAGGCCATGTCTGGAATTGGGGGTGAATCTCATAGAAAAGAGTGCTAGGGGAAGGCATTCAGTCCAGGGCTTCCCTGTGTCTTGCATGGCTTTTGCAATCTTGTTCTTTAAGGTGCCATTTGCCCTTTCTACTTTCCCACTACTTGCATTATTTTCCCAGTGAAATGGCTACCTCTGTCACTTTCAATCACTTCAGGTACTCCATATCTACATACCAGTTCCTTCAGAAGCTTACTTGCTGTGACCTTCGTTGTGGCTTTTGACACTGGGTAGGCCTCAGGCCAACCTGAAAAGAGATCAATGCACACGAAGACATATTCATACACTCCTATATTAGGTAGTTGAATATAGTCTATCTGCAGTCTTTGAAACGGGGAAAGTGGCCTTGGTGTGTGCGTACTTGGTGTTTTGACAGCCTGTCCTGGATTGTTTCTAGCACAAATCATGCAAGCTTGGGTGTGTTTAGCTGCTACAACCCAATGGGTGTTTACTATGCTTTTCATGTGCATCTTGGATAGATGTGTAGGTCCATTGGCCATCTGGGCCATAATGGGGTACAACACTCGTGGTAGACACAGTCTTTTACCTTTCCTCCACATTCTGTCATCATCAGGTTCTGCATCTTGTTTCCTCCAGAGGTCATGTTCTTCCTTGCTGTAGTCTTTGTAAGCTCAGCAGTATATTGTAGTCAATGGTGTCATCTGTAAGAACAACTTGCAGGAAGGTATTACCTGTAGAAATATGTACTTGGATTGCTGCTTGCTTGGCAGCTTCGTCTGCTTTGTGGTTTCCTCTTGTAATTTCATCTGTGATCTTCACGTGAGCTGCCACCTTGATGATGCCTAATTGAGTGGGTAGCAGCATAGTGTCCATAAGTGCACTCACGGCTTCAGAGTTCTTGATTAGAGTACAAGCTGAGGTGAGAAAATCACGAGCCCGCCATGTAGCGCCAAAATCATGGGCTATACCAAAAGCATAGTGAGAGTCTGTATAAATATTAGCAGTCTTACCAGAGGCCATTTTACACGCTTCAGTGAGTGCCTTCAGCTCTGCCTCCTGTGCAGAGCAGTGAGGAGCGAGTGGTTCAGCTTTTCTTACCACTTGTGCAGAGACTACAGCATATCCAGTGTGGAAATTACCCTTCTCATCAGCATATCTGGAACCATCTACAAAAAACTCAAAATCTGCATTAGATAATGAAGAATCAATTACATGTGAAAAACCTGCTGTCGCTTGTGCCATTAGTGCTGCACAATCATGGGGTACCTGGGCATCAGCTAACTCATCTGGTGAAAGTGAATTTACAAAAAGATCAGAAGTACAAGTACCATTCACACTATCCAGGTGTTATTAAATCCAGAGGAAGCAATGTAGATAGATTTAACACCATACACCTCTTCAGTGTAACATTAGGTGGCATAAGCAAGGCACATTGCATTCTGAGATGCCTTGCAGTATGTATGTGTTTTGGTTGAACTTGTGAGAGTATGCTGTTGATATCATGCGGTGTGTATATGGTCACTGGGTTATCTAAGACAATATCAGTGGCTTTGTCCAGGAGGGCAGTAAGAACCGCCACTGCCCTTACTCATAAGGGGGCACCCCTGGCAACAGGGTCCAATCTGGTGGAGTAGAATGCTACTGGTCTTTGTTTACCACCATGGTCCTGCGTAAGGACAGATGTAGCATAACCCGATTGTTCAGTACAGAACAGTGTAAAAGGCTTTCTGGAATCTGGGAGACCCATTGCCGGAGCTGACTTCACGAGCAACTTAAGGGTACAGAAGGCATTTTCTGCTGATGAGTTAATTTAAAGGTTTTGTTTTAGTTGGCAAGACAATCATACAGGGGCTGCATGTAGATTGCTGCAGAGCGAAGCCAAGGTCTGCCGTATGAAACAAGGCCTAGGAATGTACGTAGCTGGGCTAGACTGCAGTCTTTCTACTTTCCGTGAGATGTTTTATGCCCTGGGAAATACAATGTTCTAGGAAAATAACTTTTTCAACACATTTTGCAGTTTCGCTTCTGTAGCTTTGCAGCCTGCTTTTGCCAAGAATTTCAGCAAGGAAAGAGTTTTCACATTACAAGTTTCCTTATCTTTGCAACATAGGAGTAGGTCATCGATATACTGCAATAAAATTAGGTTATTTGGCCTTTTCCACTCTTCAAGAATCTGGGCCATAGCCATGCTGTGGGTGAGTTTTGTGTGCCCTGGGACAATACTGTCCAAGTGTACTGCTTGTGTTTATGTGTAAATGCAAATAAAAACTGACTGTCGGGATCCAGGGGGACACTGAAGAATGCATTTGCCAATAACAGTAAATACCTTAGAGGAAGGTGGTATCTGTGACAACAAGGTGTGTGGGTTGGGGATATTAGAGGCAATGAGTTCAGTTACAGCACTAATTGCCCTCAAATCATGTACCATACGGTAGACCACAAGATTCCCTTTCACTTGTTTTTTCCTAATTCGGTACAATGGTGTGATACAAGGGGAAGTGGTCTGGACAATTACCCTTGTCTGCAGTGATTCTTGCACAGATTGGGAAATAGCATCTTCCTGTGCAGGGATTAGGGGGTATTGTTTTTGACAGGGAGGGGTGGCTCCAGGCAGGAGATTCACTTTGTTTGGGGGCACAGAGAGTCTGCCTGCATCTGTCTTCCCTGTAGCCCATAGAGAAACAGGGACTGAGGACAAATCAATGGCAGGTTTTGGCACATGGCTGGGCATAGTGAGAGTTGGCAGATGAGGGATATCATTTGTTTGTCCTCTAAAGACAAAGACATTGTTACTTTTCCAGTGGGGCTATAATTGAAATTTGCATTAAGGGCAGACAGTATATCACTGCCTAGTAGATTAGCAGAGGCATGAGGGGTGAAGAGTAGCCTTGTTACAAGGGCAGTAGAGTTGTGTAGCTGCAAACTCAGTTTGTGGGTAAGGGGAATGTCACTTGGGATCCCATCCATCCCTACACATGATAATACATCTTTAGACTTCTCATACGGGAACATATATTTTTCCTGCAACATTAATTTGGCTGCCCCAGTGTCCAACAGAAAAGGAACTATTCGGTCCCCGGGCAGTGTAACATTGATAATGGATGAAGGTCTAGCTGAGTCAGGGATACTGAAAGCATGTAGGGACACTGGGTTGCCAATTTCCTATTGGGGAAGGGGATGTAGTGTAGGTGGTTGCTTGTCATGGGAGTTATCCTTTGAATCCTGGGGGTTTCTATTTTTAGGAGGGCACCTGCAGTTGCGATTGTGTCCTTTCCTGCACCAATTCCAGCAGTCTACCTGCTTTCTGTCTCCACCAGCTCTAGGGACAGATAGTGCCATTAGAGGTGTGCTCCTCTTTCTAGTAATTAGATAGGCTTCCACTCCCATAGCCACCTTTACCAGATCACCAAAGGTTAAACTTCTCCACTCAGGTCTAGCATTTTGGAGACGAGTCCTTATGGGTTTGTGGAGACCATCCATGAAGCAGTTAATGGGCAGTCTGGTGGAAGCTGTTTCAATATCTATGTAACCCAATGCCTCCCAAGCTATCTGTAGTCTGTCGAAGAATGTTTCAACAGATTCATCTTTGCATAGCCCATAATTTATGGGCTAGTTCCTCTGTCTTTACTTCAGCCCATTCTCTCATTGCAGTGACATAACATGCTCCAGATGCAGACTTGGTTCTAAACCATTCATCTGTTTTCATGTTGCTTCTTCTGAAGTTATCTTCATGGGCATCGGTAAATCTAGCAATTATTTTAGCACACTGGTAAGTAGTATGGTAAGTAGCTTGAATGGTGGATAGAGACTGGACTAGAGCTAAGCTTTTGCTACATCTGGCAGCTGATGTATTATTGCCAGTTGTTCACTGGGTGTCCAGGGCTTATATTCTTCCCAGTATTGGATACCTGAGCTCTGCTGTCTCTTCTTATAGTATAGTCTCTCAGCTTTGGGTATCATGGGATTAGTAAATTGATGAGCTAATGGCCCCACTGTGGTGTCCCTAGGGGGCAACTAGGGGTTTCCTTAAGTCCGGTGGACTACCCTCTTCCTCTAATGAACCCATAGGTCTTACTGGGGCGGCTGGGGAAATATATGAAGTCCCACTGCATAATATTACTGGAAAGAGAGGTTCTGATTTCTGTAAAAGGGCCAATATGTGAGCTGGGGGTTTAGGGAAACCACAACTTGTACATTTTTCCTCCCCCCAAGAATTTGTCCATATGCATGTGGACAGATCCAATATTCTTTCTGACTAGTGGTAGTATAACCAAGAGATTCCTGATTTGGGGAAATTGCCTGGTCTTTAGGGATCAAAGGAGTCCTGGGGTTTCAAGATTTTTCCCAGGATCTTGCCTACTCTGGGACCCTAGATGTCCAAAACATTGATAATATGGTGTACCTTTTCTGGTGGTTTCTCTACAACCACATTTAATTAATTCAACTGCAGTAACATGCCATTTTTTGGCGACTTCTACTAAGTCATTATCTTCTAACCATCCTCTGTAATTTGCCATAAGTTCCCTCCAAATCTGTGGGTCTAGAGTGCCTTTACGGGCTGTTCGTGAACCGAATGAACTATCTTTTAATAGCCCACACACTAAGGGACGTGTGGCGCTTGTTAACCGATTGCAACAATGTTGCAATTGGTAATTAGAGACTTTCCTAGGTGGCCGTCGTTCGGCTACCGACCACACGGCGGTCGGCCATCTTGGATCCTTTGTCTCTCCAGCGGTGTTTGGTCGTTGAGCGCGTGGTACTGAAAATGGCTACTCGACGGCGCGAACACCGCTGGGCTTCCAGGCCATTCGGGAGCTCCGGTCTTTCGCCATTAGGGTCCCCCATCGGTGTTCGGTATTTTGGGGCGAACTCTATGGCAAAGTGTATTTCATGCCGCGTTCGGTTGTTTTAGCTGGGATCTGAGCGGTGTTCTCACGAACTGTGCATTCCGACCCCAGCTATCTACTTAAAATCCATTCGTTTAAATCTGCCAAGTATTCTTGAAGTTATAGATTTTAATGTAACTTGCCGGTTCTGCTGCACGGAGGGATAATCCACTTAACGGTATATTCCAGTGGGAGTGTCCCTCTCGTGCAGCAGTGCCTGATGGGAGAAATGCCCTGTACGTTAAGTTTCCCATGTAGTCCACTCCTGTAATGCCCCTGTGATGTGACTCAGGAAACCCCTTGCATGGGGAATTGTATAAATACTGGAGCATGTGAATAAAGCCTCGGTTGACTCCCAGAACTGTGTTTCGTCCGGTTACTGGGGGATTTGGGACATTGCCCTACTTTTCAGCGCTTGACTATGGATTACCTTCTTTACCACCGGAGTTCACGGGATTTAATATTGCCGATCCGCTACAACTTGTAAGGGTTAATTACTTCCTTACACAAGACAAACTGTACAAAACAGTGTATAAGACACTTAGGACCACTGCAGTGGAATTTTCACAGTCTTGTCTTCATTATTCTAAACACAGGTCAGATCTGCCTTGGAGGATTCTAACTATAATTATAAAATAAATGACAAGGCAAACAATAAAAATAACTTAAACCCACAGTTATATTCCACTATCTCAAGATTCCTTTCACAGAACATTTATAATTCCACCTGAATATAATGTAATCCTTAAAACATTTCTTTGGATCTGACCTTTTGAAGTCGTTCCTTACCCAGACAGACCAGTAGGACATGGATCTGAGAGCAAAATTGGTAAAGGTAGAAAAACAGTGTTCCTTACCTTGCTTCAGCTGATTTCACTGTCAGAGGGACGTCCACCTGAACGCTAGTGTCAGAGTCTTTCGGCACCAATTGATATAGATCCAATATCGATCTTTGTTATATTCAGGGGAACCCAAATAGTATCAAGTGCACTTAGAGAAGCGTGAATTAGACACCAGTCGTGTGTTGTTATCAAAATGAGCCTCTGACTTTTATTTTATCAGTTTGTGCTTTTATACATTAAAAAGTAAGTGCTTATGTGCAAATACTCAAAGGACAGTAGAAGGAAGGGAGTGAAATAACGGAAGGAGTACAGATAAGACATAGGGATGAACATCATGTACATATAACAGATAGGTTCCGGGAAAGAGAAGAAACAGACTGATTTGAGAAGAGACATCTCAGGTGGGGGCTATCTGCTCCTGGAACTAGACATATATGGTCTTAAGTGTTTGTTGGGGATAAAATCCGCCCGGCCCTTTGTGGATGATGGATATTTGCCAACTCATTCAGAGCTCTGGAAATTGGAAATGAATAGCAGAGATGTGTTCAATAACCAATTTTAATTTTATTCATCCGTCAGTTATATTAATACCAGGATGGGAGGGGGAAAAATGAGCATATGGGCGTGACAATGACATAGATTGTTTTTCACAAGTTATGAGCAGCTGTTTCTTATTATAATTCTACGTTATATAACGCATGCATATTTGATCAAAACTAAGATATTTACAAATACCAAAATCTTGGACAATTAACAAGAACATTTGGAAATCAGTATGGTCCTTCTCGTAAATGATATTAGATAAATTCTTCCCAGAATCGAAGATACAATTCCAAATTTATTCTTGGTTCACATTAACCCTTATATGAACAGCTAGGATAGATAGTGAAATGGATATTCATATCTACAGTGTTGTTTTGAGCATTAAGCATTTCCTGAGTCCAAGTTAGACAATTTTAATATAGGATATGTAATATGACACCTATAAGTTTGAACCTTGGAATCAATGTAAATTCTTTCACACTAGCCTCATAGCTCCCGTCAGGGGGTGTAGACAGTGACCATAGCTCCGACACGGGGATCCGAGACAGTGTGCGCACGCTGGTTCGGGATATGAATGCTACTCCTGGGTGGCGTTCGGTTATACGAACCGGCAGCCACCCAGGGGAAGCACGCGCCTTGCAGGCCTGCGGTTTTCACACCTTGTTACCAGGTGTGAACGTTCTAACTGTACATTCCAAATTAGGTGTTGGGGTGTCCCTGTTCGGGAGCCGAACAGAACCATTCTTATGAGCTCTCCCGAATGGGGAGCAGGTAAAATACACAAATACATCACAGTTTACATGGGGAAACAGAGTATATAAGGGACAATTGGGAGAATACAAAAAATACACATTGCGAACACAAAATACAAGGGCAAAACATATGAATACAAACACAAACAATAGGATAAGTGGCGCTAAACAGAAAATAGATAAATAAGAAATCCCAGTGCGTCTAAAACCAAACCAGTGTTTTAGTCACCTGTAAAACACTTACATTAATACAAATGGATACAGGAAAAGGTGGTTTTGCGCATACAGTGGATGCTTGATGAGATAATCTGCAACATAGACAGCTATCATAGGGCAATATGCATAAACCAATTACTGGTATAAGAAATAATTAGGAGCACTCACACTTTAGAGAGCCATATGAGTCGGCTCTCTACTGTAGTAGCATGTAGAATACTCTGTAGTTGAAGTGGTCCCCCAGGAACAAGAGTCTGGATATAATCTGGAACAGATATACTTCTTATAGATCAAGATGAAGGGCCACTGCTTGCAGGGACGAGAGGTTTATTCTCAAACTCTACCACTTTCAGAATGTTCAGACAGTGTGTTTATGTGAGATGAAACTTGAATGTGGTCAATGGAGGTAAGTGATCACAGGAATTAGCTGTGCTGTCAGATTTAGGGTGGGAACTATTAGTTAGTTGCTTGATGAAATTATCTCATCAAGCATCCACTGTGTGTGCAACCTTCTCTACATAGGCCGTACCATCAGATGTACCACATTCGAATTTCAGAGCATATTCGAAATATAAAAAAACGGAGTAGAAACTCATAGTGTTTCCAGTCATTTTAAAAAATATCACAAAACCACCTTTTCCTGTATCCAAAACATATGAATATTGAGTGATCATGGTACTTAGTGGCGGTGTCCCGCCACAGTCACCTTCTCACCTTGCTGCTTGGCGATGGTCTTCCAACCTTGTGTAGGTCTACAATCTTGTCCCTGACATCCTTGGACAGCTCTTCTGTCTTGGCCATGGTGGAGAGTTTGGAATTCGATTGATTGCTTCTGAGATTAGGAGCACTCCTTTTCTGAAAGTCTTCCTAATCTCAGCTTGTTACCTGTATAAAAGACACCTTGGAGACAGAAATCTTGCTGATTAATAGGGGATCAAATACTTATTTCACTCATTGACATGCAAATTCACAAATTCTTCACAGCTACCTTCCCTTTCCATTGCGTTAACCACATTCTTAGGGTTATTTAGTAAAGTAAATTCAAAGGGAATTTCAAATTTAGAGTCAAAATAGCTGATCTTTAAAAATCAGCTCTAAATTAGCTATGCTACCAGTTCGGCTAATCTGGCCTTAAATTTGAAATTCCTTTTGAAGTTACTTGAAATTTGCACTTTAGTTAATAACACTATCTGTGTCTAACTGCATATTGCAGGAACTAGCTCTACGAAGTCTAATCTCTCAGATGTGACTTTGGACGAGGGTCGAATAGTATTCTCAATCCCATAATCTAATAAAATGTAACTTTGCTATGGATAACTGCAATATGTCCAACTTAATATATCCTGTAAAGACTAATTGTTTTTCATTTTTCTTTATCAGCTCAGAGTGGAACCAACACAGGAATAGTCAGCACCACCACAAACAGCATATTTGACCAAAGCGGAACATTTAAGTTGTTTTTTGATATCTATTTATACCCCACTAATGGAAGTAACTCATCGATTTCAAACACAACAGTACAATTCACGCCGATGACTGCTTTAGTTTATGAAGTTTTAGTGAAGAATTTTAAACCGAATACGGAGACAGCATTGTGTCTCAATGTGTCAGTGATTGCCGGAAATAGCAATCCTGTAATATTGTACCACAGCTCTATGATAAATAAAAGCACCCCATTTTACATAACTGAATCCCCTGGACTGACTATATCATTTTTATCAAGTAATATAACAAATAATATCATAAAAGCAGCTGTAAAAGTTTTGGTGTATAATACCATAAACAGTAAGTCATCGATAACAAGCGTCAATTTTAATGAAAGCACAACTGCATATTTTGACATAGTTTTAACTCGAACAATGACACAAACCACAACCACTCCTTTACCTACTAGTACCCAATTAACAACAGCCAGCACCACTGAAGCAACATCCACTATTACCACAGAGACCTCTACTAGTGTTAAGACCACTAGTCCACCAACATCGCCAACTACCTCTGAGACTTCTACCAGTACAATGACCACTACTGAACCAACATCCACCAGCAGCACAGAGACCTCTACTAGTATTAAGACTACTAGTCCACCAACATCGCCAACTACCTCTGAGATTTCTACCAGTACAATGACCACTACTGAACCAACATCCACCAGCACCACAGAGACTTCTACTAGTGTTACGACTACTGGTCCACCAAAATCGCCAACTACCTCTGAGATTTCTACCACCACCGTTACTACTACTGAACCAACATCCACCAGCACTACAGATACCTCTACTAGTATTAAGACCACTAGTCCACCAACATTGCCAACTACCTCTGAGATTTCTACCAGTACAATGACCACTACTGAACCAACATCCACCAGCACCACAGAGACTTCTACTAGTGTTACGACTACTGGTCCACCAAAATCGCCAACTACCTCTGAGATTTCTACCACCACCGTTACTACTACTGAACCAACATCCACCAGCACTACAGATACCTCTACTAGTATTAAGACCACTAGTCCACCAACATTGCCAACTACCTCTGAGATTTCTACCAGTACAATGCCCACTACTGAACTAACATCCACCAGAACCACAGAGACCTCAACAAGTGTTGAGACAACTCCTGAGCCCACATCAACCATTACTGCAGCAACATATACCAGTACTGCTGTCACCACTAGTGAACGAACATCCACCAGCACTGCAGAGACCTTTACAAGTTCCAAGACAACTAGCCAACCAACATCAGCCATAATCACTGTGACACCTAGTGAGCCAACATCCACCAGCACCACAGAGACCTCTAGCAGTACTGAGCCCACTAGTCAATCAACGATAATCAGTACGACAAAGCCAACTACTTTTATTACTACAAATTCTCTGTCGCCATCCACCCACAGCACAGAGACTACTGTCAATCCAAGCACAAGTCAGCTGTCATCAACCAGCACTACAGAGAGCACTCCTACTCCAACTACTACTGAGTCAACATCAACTAGCACCACAAAGGCCACTAGTAGTCCAAGCACTACCCAGTTAACATCAACTACAGAGATCACTACCACTAGTCCATGTTGTCGACCAACATCAGAATGCGTTACTTCTACTCCTACAGCAACCACTGGTAAGTCAACTTAAACTAGTACAAGAATATATAGAAACCTCTAGTTTCCATCATTAATTATTTAAATCCTTTACAAAGAACGAACCAAAATGTAACCATTACAACAACAAGCACGTAGAGAGTTGGATAGACACTTAACTAAATAGGAGAAGATTGACAAACATTTACTGGTTTAATATATAAATATGAAAAGCCAAGGATCGGCACATTTATTCTTACTGAATAGCTGAACAACAAAAGAACAGCTCAAATTGTGTGTAATATGTATAACTAACAATTATTACAATTATATTAAGTAGAATTACAGATTAAAATCACGCATTGGATTTCATTTTTGCAGATGTCTCTCCTTTAAAATCATAAATAAAAATTACTATAATATAACTTACTAACACATAAAATCTAAATAAATTGACTTGCCTCTGGTAGAACTAATGAGCAGAATATTACAGACACTCCCAGACCCTATTGACAGATGAATTGCATGAACAGAGTTTATTTAAATATCAGCTTTCCCCTTCACCCATCGATGATATAAAGCAATGTTGACTAAACAGTCCCTTGTTATAAGCCATATTTTTAAAGAATGTTGTGGACTGTATATGATGATAAACCTTTAAACATTAAAAGAATGTCACTGTGACATATCAGGTACAGGATCACATCATGCCACTTAGCTAGCAAATGTATCTTTAAAATGAATGTTACTTTTAAGCTGCCAATCACACACATCATGAAATGGCAAATAATAAAAAACAGCCTGACTGTGTTTGAATAGGGTTTCGAATGGGTGCCTGGGGGCCTGGGGCTCCACTTTGTCAGACCCTCAAACATTTAAGTTGTGTAGTTTGTCTGTAGCCAGAGATGTAGAGAAGGAGGTGCGGTAATCTAGCAGACTAGAGGTGGCCAAGATGCAGCCCTACCTCCTAGCTGATGTAGAGTGAATCCTTTGTGAACCCTACAATCTTCACAGAGCCGAAAATGTCTCATCTACCAGGACGCAGATAATCATAATATCTTGGGGTTTCTAGTCAGTCCCCTCATTCTCATGATTATAGAGCTAAATCTTCACTTTGCTGAACACCTATGATAACATTTTCTGCAGTAGATTTAGAGAACATATATTTCTGTTAATGAGCATATATTAAGATATTTTGTTTAATAGCTTTCTATTTTTTCTTTCATACAGAACCACCAACACCCCAATGTTACCCACTCTGGCTGGTGGTGGTCATCGCTTCAATCACTGCTGTAATTACTACCCTTCTGATCCTGCTTTGTGTTTTGGTAAGTGGAAAATGGACACGATTAACTCCTCAAGTAACCAAAGGCATAGACCATAATTGGCAGAGTATAAAATGTATTATTAATATTTATAGTATTTATAGAGCGAAAACTAATTCCACGTTGCTTTACAATATTATGAAGGAGGACATTTAATAAAGAGACCATTACAAAATGTTACAGAAACAATAGGGTAATGGTGAGGTATAAAAACGCAATACGAAGACAAGCGTGTGGGATAGCAACTAAGCAACAAAGTGGGAACGTAGCTGGATTGGGAGGTGAGAGTGAACTGTAATCCTTTAACAGAAAGCAAGAGATATGCTGGTGAAATTTATTTATTTATAAAATATTTTACCAGGATGGATACATTGAGATTTCTCTCGTTTTCAAGTATGTCCTGGGTCCACAACACATTGCATTGATACATTGGGGTACAATAAAATACAAAAACAATATTAATACACAATGTATACAAAATGTAACATAGAGCAGGTAGGAAATATATAATCAACCATGACAGGTTCATTCTGTTTTGAGGTATGTAGAGAGGGATCTCTTAAAGGACTTTAGGCTTGGGGAAGATTTGAAAGTGTGCGGGAGGTCGTTCCACAATTGCGGTGCTCTATAGGAGAAGGAGGATCGGGCTGCTTTCTTTTTGTATTGAGGTAGACTAAATAAAGTGCTGGTACTGGATCAGAGGTTATAGGAGGTGGGAACACCCGGGGAGAGCATTCTGCTCAGGTAGGGGGGGAGCTTCCCAGAAAAGCTCTTAAACACAAGGCTGGAAAAATGAAGAGTGCATCGGGATTCCAGCGAAAGCCAGTTTAGCTCTTTTAACGGGACACTATAGTCACCTGAACAACTTTAGCTTAATGAAGTAGATTTGGTGTAAAGAACATGCCCCTGCAGCCTCGCTGCTCAATCCTCTGCCATTTAGGAGTTAAATCCCTTTGTTTATGAACCCTAGTCACACCTCCCTGCATGTGACGTGCACAGCCTTCCATAAACACTTCCTGTAAAGAGAGCCCTATTTAGGCTTTCTTTATTGCAAATTCTGTTTAATTAAGAATTTCTTATCCCCTGCTATGTTAATAGCTTGCTAGACCCTGCAAGAGCCTCCTATATGTGATTGAAGTTCAATTTAGAGATTGAGATACAATTATTTAAGGTAAATTACATCTGTTTGAAAGTGAAACCTTTTTTTTTTTCATGCAGGCTCTGTCAATCATAGCCAGGGGAGGTGTGGCTAGGGCTGCATAAACAGAAACAAAGTGATTTAACTCCTAAATGACAGTGAATTGAGCAGTGAAATTGCAGGGGAATGATCTATACACTAAAACTGCTTTATTTAGCTAAAGTAATTTAGGTGATTATAGTGTTCCTTTAATATGTCACAATGGTGGGTCATGTAATTATATTGTAGCACAAAGCGGCAGAACAAATTATGCAATGTACTGAGTTTATTAATCTGGGATTGCGGTGCAGATGCATATACTACATCCCCATAATCAATGACTGGCATCAGCATTTGCTGTACAATCTTTTCCTTTACTGTAGGGCTTAGGCAGGATTTGTTTCTGTACAGGGCACCTAGTTTTGGATAAAGTTTAGATGCAAGTTTATCTATGTGGAGGCCAAAAGATAGATTGGGGTCTAACAACATACCCAAGTATTTGAAAGAGGGAATGTGCTATTTGATTTTGTTTTGATGCATAGATGGGAATTTAGTACTTTGTATAATTTAGGTACTGTTCCAAAGCTCATTGTGACCGTATTGAGAGTTTGCCTTTAAATACATTATTTGGACATATTGGATTTTATTGCACTTTTTCTGCCCCTTTAAATCCATGGGAAATGTGCCTCTTCCCCTCCCCCTTTTTCCTATCCTATTGTTCTCCAGCAGGGCATTGTCCCAGGGACACTGCCAGACCAGTTGAAACTGGTTGCTTTGTCCCTCCTCAATCTCTCATCAGCCCTTGCTATTGTTTAACCACATTGCGTGAGATCTGAGTGCTTTTCGGACATATCTAGCGCTCAGATCCAAGCTATCTGGAGATATGTTGGACATATAGGTTAAACATTGTATTATATGAGTTATGTATTTTTATGTGGTTTTTGTAACAGTTTTGACTTAGAGGTATTCCCTGTACCTGGAGATAATTAAGTTACCATATCCACTTAAAGGACCACTCTAGGCACCCAGACCACTTCAGCTTAATGAAGTGGTCTGGGAGCCAGGTCCAGCTAGGGTTAACCCATTTTTTCATATGTTTATGAATGGGTTAAGCCTTCCCCTATTTCCTCTAGCAGCTGTCTCATTGACAGCTGCTAGAGGCGCTTGCGTGCTTCTCATTGTGATTTTCACAGTAAAAGCACGCCAGCGTCCATAGGAAAGCATTATGAATGCGCATTCAGCCGACGGGGAGGAGAAGAGGAGGATCGGAGGAGGAGAGCTCTCCGCCCAGTGCTGGAAAAAGGTAAGTTTTTACGCCTTTCCCCCTTCCAGAGCCGGGCGGGAGGGGGTCCCTGAGGGTGGGGGCACTATAGTGCCAGGAAAACGAGTATGTTTTCCTGGCACTATAGTGGTCCTTTAAGCCAATTATCTCCAGGATAGAGGAGAAGATAGACCAGCTGTACAGCCTAAATTTGTGGAACTGTTTTGGGCAGGAAAGTCATGCTTGCAGTCGGTCAAATGTGACTTCCATGGAATTTGTGAACCCCTGCTCTGATCTGGGTGATTTTTGGATATGTTGTTCACCCAGATCAGGGCTATCCGGGGATGTGTTGTTGTTTTGGGGTGTTTCTGTGTTTTGGGTAAAATTTTATATTTTCTGCCTGTGATAATTAAGTTAGCCTATTGTGTTTAGTAATTGTATCACAGGCAGAGGGGAGGGTTTGTGTGCATGGGAGTGTCTGACTGTACTGTATTGTGTTGATTGGTTGTTGTAACTTTGTGTCCTGTGTACCACAAGGTCCTCGTGGGTGGTAACATTGTGTATATAAGAGCAATAAAGCCTCAGTGCATTCTGTTCCTGTTTGACCCTCAACACGTAGTCTTGTCTCGTGATTGGAGGGGACAGCTATATTCACACTGGGGATTGCTATACTTGTATATCCCCCTGAGCTTTAATCACTTAGCTCTTCTAAGAGCTGTTCCTGATACGCTCTCCTGGAGGAGAGGTCTCCCCCACATGGTCCTGGAGGACATAGGCTGATCCAGGGTGGAAGGAAGACGGCGAAACTCCAGTTAAGCTACGGGGGTTGTGGAGTCTGCAGTGGTTGTGGTGTCCGGTGCAGTGCTTGTGGTCCTCGGCGCAAGCTAGGAAGCGTCCATCATGGAAGGTACTCGGTCGGAGTATCGATGATCCCTTAAGCTGTTCCAAAGGTTTAGAGCTACCGGTGAGAAGTCTGGCAAGCACCAATTAGCAGTAAGGGTACGAGCAGCGGACAGTAGAAGTTCACCAGCAAAGTTGAGAAACCAAGAGGGGGCATATGAAATGTAGAAGGGGGTAGAGTTATTTAGAGTTTTGTAGGTAAGTGTTAGTAATTTAATTTGAGTCCTATAGGGTAAAGGAAGCCAGTGACTGACAGAGTGGAGAGGTGTGAGCAGTGGTGTACTAAGGGGGGGCAGTCCCCTCTAAGTAGGGGGTGCCACGCTCTGGCAGACTGGCGCCCAGTTTGTGAGTCAGAGTAAAAGGAGGAGATTCCCAGCCTGTGTTCTGACTCACACTGAGCAGCAGGGAGGTTATTATAGAGTGTAAGAGCAGGGGGCGCAGAGCCAGGTTGCTCCCCAGCGGCCACTCTGAACATGCAGGGAATCAGAACCTGCTGCACTGCCTGATCCTGGGAAGGAGCTGCATGGAGGCTGAAAGAGCAGCCACCACATGGTGAGAGACGGCTCCTGCTGCTCCTGCACCCTCCTAAATGGTGAGTTAATACAGTATTTGTAAAGTACCCTCTGACTTACCTCTCCCACCCTCCCTGCCATTATACCCCTAATCCTATCCTTGTCATAATACCCTCCCTGCCATATACCCCCAGTTTGTCATAATACCCTCCCTGCCATAAATCCACCACCTAGTCATAATTCCCACCCTGGCATATATTCCTCAACATGTCACATGCTGTCAAAGTATCCACCACAGTGTCCCACCCTGCCATATACCCTTCTCCTGCTAGTTATACTCACCCACATACATATACCTCCACGTCGTCACATTCCCCCACACACTAAGTCCCAGCCAGTTCTATTCTGACCCACCCAGGCACATACAACTGTTCCCCCACTGTCATATAGACACATTACACACAGGCTCACATTCTCAAATTACATATGCAGTCACACACAATGCACATACATACGCTGTCACAAACTTTTTCACACAAGGGAAAAGAACAGATATATACTGGAATACAGTGAGATTCAAAAAATTGTAAGCACTGCATAGAAGTTAGTGCGCGCCCTGCAGTGAGCCGGCAGCTGGGATATGATATCATCCTGGCATCGGCATCACTACTGGGAGCGTGAGTGAGCTGTGCAGGAAGAGCAACCACTAGTCCCCAGGGGGAGGATCCACTCCAGCCCTCCCAGAGCAAGGTAGGGAGGTTGGTTGGACCTCTTAATAACTAAATGTTTGTCTAAGAATATGATTTATGTGTGTATATCAGTAATTATGTGTGTATGTGATTGTTTGTGTATGTCTGCGATTATGTGTATCTGTCGTTAGGTGTGTGTTTATTGTGATTGTGTGTGCCTGTGATTATGAGGGTGTATGTCTGTGATTGTCTGTATACAAGTCTGTGTGTATATATCTGTGGTTGTGTGTGTATGTAAATGTGTATGTGTTTAGTAGATAACTCCATAATTTAGGTCCTTAAATATGTCAATATTGTGTGCTGCTGGTTAACCTCTTGATCCCAATTAGAACGTTGTGGTTAACCGCAGACACTTCTCAATTAAAACTGAATACAGGGTGGTCGTCGTATGTCGACCACGAGGCGGCGGCCATTTTAAACCATGCGAAAGACCAGCGGTGTTCGGCATTGATTTCATGGAACTGAAAACTGACACATTTTCTGCCGAACACCGCTGAAGCCACCGACCTCCCTTCTCAATCGACAGAAGTATACGAACTCCGGCCATTCGGGAGTTTTAAACGCACGAATAGACTTAACCCAGATAGCCTTCCCATGGAGTCAATCGCATACCGAAAGACTGTAATAGACTTTGACTCCATGGTGATTGAACTATACGTATGGGATCTGAGCGCTATTTGACAATAATATGCACTCAGATCCAGGCTATCTGGGGATATCTGATACGAATGGGTAACATTCGACAATTGTAAAGTTATATATTTTTATATGTTTTCTGTGTTGAATTTAAAATGGCGATTTGCCTCTTTCCTGGAGATAATTGAATTACTTCTCAATTATCTCCAGGGCAGAGGGGAGGAAATACTAATGCATGCTGGGAATATTCTGTGTCTGTGGGTCCTAACCTGCCATATGTCTGTCTATTGTTACAGTCTCCCATTTGGTCCCCTAGGGGAGTGTCCACCAAGTGGGAGACCTGCATAAATACGGGCAGGTAGCCCACAGTAAAGCCAGTTCATGTTTTACCCTCAATGCAGAGCTTGGTTTTGTTATTGGGGGGATTTATTACCGACGACTAGAGACTGCTGGATGGGATTATTAGCTACTTGGGAGATATATGCGTTCGGCTACTATTGGCGATTCGTGAGTTTGGAGCTCGTGAAGTGAAGTGCCCGTACGGATCCCGTTCGTACATTTACAGCGTTCCCCTGCTTGCGGTTCGTATGATTGTACTTGATACGCATGAAGCCTGTGTTATTGCAAGAGGGGAGGATTCACTAAACGGCAGTTTGTGCATTTGATGCTGAGGGTACCGTAACACAACCTTCTTCATACGCCTACTTTTACCCTCTGTGTCACTATACCCCACTCTCTCTAACATGTAAACTCACTGAGAAGGGCCTCAATCGCTCTGTTACTGTGTCACTAAACCCCACTCCCTCTAACATGTAAACTCACTGAGCAGGGCCCTCAACCCCTCTGTTACTGTGTCATTATACCACACTCCCTCTAACATGTAAGCTCACTGAGCAGGGCCCTCAATCCCTCTGTTACTGTCACTATACCCCACTCCCTCTAACATGTAAGTTCATTGAGTAGGGTCTCAATCACTGTGTTACTGTGTCACTATACCCCACTCCCTCTAACATGTAAACTCACTGAGCAGGCCCTCAATCCCTATGTTACTGTGTCACTATACCCTACTCCCTCTAACATGTAAGCTCATTGAGTAGGGCCTCAATCACTGTGTTACTGTGTCACTATAACCCACTACCTCTAACATGTAAACTCACTGAGCAGGCCCTCAATCCCTATGTTACTGTGTCACTATATCCTACTCCCTCTAACATGTAAGCTCACTGGGCAGGGCCCTCAATCCCTCTGTTACTGTGTCACTATACCCCACTCTCTCTAACATGTAAACTCACTGAGAAGGGCCTCAATCGCTCTGTTACTGTGTCACTAAACCCCACTCTCTCTAGCATGAGAGCTCATTAAGCATGTCCCTCAACCCCTCTGTTCCTGTCTTCCTCTGTCCAACGTCTCTGGTTACAACTACATGTTCGTTCACCCACTGTAAAGCGCTGCAGAATTTGTTGGCGCTATATAAAAATTAACATCATAATAATAATAATTATAATTAATTATAAGGACACTATAGTCACCAAAACCACTTTATCGAAACAGATTTGGTGTATAGATCGTGCCCCTGCAGTTTCACTGCTCAATTCTCTGCCTTTTAAGAGCTGAAGCACATTTTATACATGTTAGTTTGTAACCAGGTAGATTTATAAAAGTGTAAACGTCTATTGAAATCTGCACTCAGGGCTGGTGCTACCATAAGGCGCACAGGGTGCATAGCCCTGGGCGTGCAAGGGGGCGCTCCCCTACTGCTGGTCTCTGAAGAGACACACAGAGGGGCTGAGAAGGGAAGAAAGACACACAAAGGGGGCTGGGGAGAGAAAGAGGCACACAGAGGTGCTGGGAGGTGTACCAAATGGCACAGAGGGGCTGGGGAGGGTCAAAACAGGCAGGGGTTGTGGAATGGGTAAGAGACAGGTATGGGCTGGGGGTTAGACACCATGGAGTCAAACCCCCAGCCCATACCTGTCTCTTACCCATTCCACAGAGGGGCTAGAGGGAAAAAGAGACATAGTTGGTCTGTGGGTTGAAAGAGGCAAGGTGCTGGAGAAATTGACACAGAGGGGTTGTGGGGGATTAGGAGACATAGAGGGGATGGGGAAGGATAGAAAAATATATTCATAAGGTGGTAAGAAAATCAAGAGGGGGATTAAAGCAGCATCGTTATGCCAAACTTACCTTTTACCTGCTATTTGCTTATCTCTTCCTCTCTCAGAATCTGTATACGTAGGGACTACTTTACCGTATGTATTTTTGCTAAACTTGACCTGCTTCGACCAAAGGAGGAGCTTAAGTCCGCTTTATTTTCTGTGTCAATGAGGAGGGTGAGTATTGTGGGAAAGTTTCTTTGACCACAGAAAATGGAGCGGACTTAAGCAGGTCAAGCGTAGGAAAAATACATAAGACAAAGTAGTCCCTATTTTGTATTATGTTTTAAAGAAACACAGATCAGATAAGAAATGAAGAAGAGATGTTGTGAGAGGAAAAGAAGAGGAAGCAATAGGGGAAAAGTTCAGCATGAAAGTGCAGGTTTAAGGGACCCATAGGTGAAGATGCCTTTTTTGGGAGGTTAGAGCTACAAACAATAGTTTTTTGCTTATATGTAATCCAGCACAGAGAGAGGGAGAGAGAGAGAAAGGGAGAGGGAGTGAGAGAGAGAGTCAGAGAGAAAGAGAGGGAGGGAGGGAGAGAGAGAGGGAGAGGGAGTGAGAGAGAGAGTCAGAGAGAAAGAGAGGGAGGGAGGGAGAGAGAGAGGGAGAGAGAGAGAGAGAGAGAAAGAGAGGGAGGGAGGGAGCGAGAGGGGGGAGGAAAGAGAGAAAGAAAAGAAAGAGAGAAAGAAGAAGAGAGGGAGAGGGAGGCAGTGAGAAAGAGGAGAAGAGAGGGAGGGAGAGGGAGGAAGGGAGAGAGGGGGAAAGAGAGTGAGAGAGAGAGGGGAAGAGAGAGAGGGAGAGAGGGAGGCAGAGGGGGAAGAAAGAGAGATAAAGAGAGGAGTAAAGAGAGGGAGGGGGATGGAGAGAGGGAGGGAGTGAGAGAGAGAGGGGGGAATGAAAGAGAGGGAGAAATAAAGAGAGGGGGAAGAGAGAGAGAGGGGGAGGGAATGAGAGAGAGGGGAAGGGAGGGAAAGAGAGAGAGAGAGAGAGAGAGAGAGAGAGAGAGAGAGGGAGGAAAGGAAGGGAGAGATAAAGAGAGAGGGAGAGAAGAAGTGAGAGAGAGGGAGAGAGAGAGAGGAGAGATAAAGAGAGGGTGTGTTATTTTTGTTACTTTGTTTTTATTCCCCACAAAGAAGGGACAATATGTTATATTGTTATTTATTTAAAAAAAAAAAAAACGCAATACCATTTTGTTGTACATTAATTAGTAACAAAATATTGGCTTGTAAAAAATATTTACTTTCATAATAAAACATAATTTGTTATTCATTATGCGTTTTATCCCAATTTATTTCCACTATTGACTTTCTTATTGCTTTTAGATTGGAAAAATGCTTAAAAATGCAAGATCGAACCGTCATTATAACGCAAATGCCTAGATGCTGTAAGATTCCGTCATCCACCAGATCAGTCGAGGACAGTTTCTAAGCCTTCCAGTTGCCACTATTACACCATTGTCAAAAGAGAAATATCGGTATTGTCTTCTACTTACATCTTACGATGTCATCGTGGCATGTTTCCATTCTACCAATAGTCAACCACCACACTGCTAGTTTTGGAAGTGCAGTATAGAGACAAACAGGTTTATTCACTGATGTGAGAATTCAAAGTAAATTTCAAATTCAAGGTAAAAATAGCTGATTTGGAAACATTATCCAAGTCAGCTAAGGTCCAGTTTGGCTACTTTGGCCCTAAATTTGAAATTCACATTGTTTGCCTTTGAATTTTCCCTTCATTGAAGCCCACAAAGTATACAGAGTTCAAACATTAGTAGGGCAACTTTTTGGTTGCGATGCCATTATGACTGACGATGAAGACGAAGATGATGAAACTAGTATTTGATTGCAGTAATGGTTTGGTGGGGGGGAGGCTTTGTTTATTTAACCTCCATATGGTATACAATGTATTCTGATTTTGCGAGAGCATTAGAATAATGATAACTGGTTCACTTCCTGCTCCATTATCAACACACATCCACTCCCAAATATGGAGGCCACTGTATTTATAACAACTTAAAGCTATTAACACTGTAACTGTTCATTATATAAATAAATGCACAAAATCCATATTTAACAAAAATGTAATCTGAAAAAATACCTGAAATCAAATGATAATGTCCCTCTCTTACTCTAAAGGGTTTGGGGAGGTCACTGTACCTGTGAAAGCTTGTGGGTTATTTGGCTAACACGAGCCGTAACACCTGGCAACTAAGGAAATGGCTCCTTGGCCTACCCATAGTGTCATATTATCTACTGCAAACCAAAACAAACACGTTCCCACAGATTATGACATTTGACTTTTTGTTCCTCTTACCCTCTGTCACCACTCTGCTCCTTAGCCCCAGGGCCGGCCTTAGGGGTGTGCGAGCTGCAACGGGGGCGCCATGGGGCCACACAGTTCACACATCTCCCAACTATGCGACAGGGGCGGGGCTTACAGATTCAGATCAGCATGCCCCTCTCCCAACTAGGTAACAACAGGAAAGGAGGAATGAATATGTGTTTTAAAATTATTATTAATTTAATAAATCCCCTATACAATCACTACATTCCTATACACACACTATACATGGATGACGGAGGGGCGGGGGGGACGCTGTGAAGATTTTTCGCACAGGGCTCCTAAATTCTGGCCCAGTCCGTTCCATGAGGTCTTTCATAACGATAAGCTTTTAGTGAATAAGTCACAGAGAGTTTGACAGATAAATTAGGTATTCTAAGATTTCTGAGGATTCCCCAAGCAGTAGATAAGCTTATATTGCCTTTAGCACTTACACGTTTTGTATATATGCGGCTAAGGGTATATTTTTAAATCATTCTGTTACCTAGGCAAAAAATATACATCATTAACAGAGTATAATCAATAAAGTGCTAGCCAATAGAAAAAGCAGTTTATGATTAGAAGTTCCACCCCATTTGTGGCATTCCACCACACTAGTATTACTATGTACATATTAAAGGGACACTCCAGACCCCTAAAGCACGTTATTTTAGAAACACGCAGATGTACCTGATGTGTAAAGAGTGTGTCCTATTTTTATTTTTTTCACTTAGTTTGTTTTCCTGGCACTACAGTGGTCCTTTAATAAATGAACCTTGTTACACCCTCTCTGGCTGTCAATCAGACAGGTGGTCTGGTTACTTCCTGGTTTGGTTAGCTCAGTGGAGATAAACTCAACAGGCAGCAATTGCCCAGTGCACCTGTCTTGTACAGATTTTCATTAAGCTGCAAATGGAAGTCTGTGATTGGACAGCCATGGAAAGCTTGGGCTGGGGGTTAGAATGGGAGGGTTTATAAAGGATGCAGACAAGAGAACTGCAGCTTATACATCCCAATACATTGGGGTATATCTACTAAACAATGGTTTGCATTTATTTTATTTTTTTGTATTTGGGCAGTGGAGTATCCCTTTAATTCAGCACATTCTCACTGTAATAAAGTGATGGTCAAAAGCAATGTGTGACATGTTCTCACCTAAAAAGAGAAACAAATCACCGCCAATGTTCACCAATCCCCATTTTACACTCAGTAGTATTATAAGAGGACATGTTCCTAATTTTAATATAAAAAATAAATGTGAATGCACAGTCGGAGGAAATAATCTATTATGTCTCCCATCAGTCTGTTTAAAGAAAGCACATGTATATTTTATAACGGTATGAATAGTATAACTATTTGAAAAGAATGTAACAAAATGACCTTCTTTAAAATGTTTAAAATGCATTTTGTGAGATTAATTTTATATCTAATACTGGCATTTTTTAATTCTAGTCCTCCCTGCCTCCAGGGGGCGCTCTACTTATTGTTCAGAAGCTGAATGTGAGCCTGTCACCACGGTGCTCGCTCAGAGTGTAGCCTGAAAGGCATGCCTTGCTATGGAAGCCAAGCGCCCTCCTGGCTGGCGAGAGTATAATTAACAAGTGCCCATATCACTACAATACAAAATTCTAAAACGATTGCAATGCTGCCTTACACCATGTACTGTAAATGATTTTAATAAAAAATAATTTTAAAATAAAACTATCCAACAATTACTGTGTGAGTAATCCATGGCTGTCTTCTAACACTTGGACTGAAACTCCCATCACTACCCAGCCCATGTTTGTGCCTAATGTCATAGAGTTTGCCGTAGCCAGCTTGCTGCATGCTATATATATGTATCGGAGTTTACCGTCCAGTCCCGTTTAATGGTGTCCATTTTGTAACATTGCTGGGTGCCATGTAAAATCACTGAATCGTTCCCTCCTACAACATGGACACCCTGTGTTGGAAGTAGAAATCATTAGTACAAACTGCTAGCAGGTTCGTATCACGGACATTACTTTCAGTTAACTTTTTAATGAGTTTTTAAACAGACCTTGTTTTTCTCTTCTAGAATACAGGACCCAGCAGCCCACATTGCACCATTTAGAAGGGTTACTCCAACCACCATAACCACTACAGCCCTTCACCTGGTCTCTTCTGTAGGCAGGTATGCCTCATACACATTCTGCAGAGCTGTAGAAGCCAGATGCCGATCCTGCCACTCGTTCATTGCCTGACAGCGTCAGCAGACCACTCTCAGCCAATGAACGCTGGACATATAGAATCCAGTCACCATGACCACATCAAATCACCAAAGTGGTTATGGTGCTTGGAGTAACCCTTTAAATCCCTAACTGTGCTCACTCACTGATTTGAAATAGCTCATTATCTTGTCAGTGATAGAGATTATCATTTATCTTTCTAAGTTATATTCATAATTTTTTTTTTTGCCATTTGATGAATATAAACGGTAGTGTAATGTAATGTTGATTTAAAATATGACCGAATGCACGCCTTCTTTTAACGTACTGCGCACGCCTGTGACACCCACATTGTTCTCAGCTTTACGTCCACTTTTAGACTATCTACATCTTTTTGCATCTTATGTGAATGTTTCTCTGGAAACTATTATCTTGCAAACTTGAGAATAAATATTTATTAACATGCGGACATCCTAGCTGGCATTAATCCAGAACATGAAAGGATTAGATACTGAACAAGCATTAATCCAATCACCCTGTAGCTATTTAATACACGTAATGTTTTCTAATCCGGTACTAAGCGTTATTAGTGACCGAAATTCTGGGTTTATAAAAGCATCGCTGTCACAGCAATATTATTTTAGAAACACGCAGAGTGATTCAAAAACCATTTACTGCTGCATTGGACATTGAGCACACTATTAAACAAGGCTGGATTTTGCTTAGCAGGTATCGAATATGACTGAAATCGGGGCCGGATTGTGAAAGAGTGACATCATTTCTGAGCTCCTCAACAAATGCTGGATTTCCCCCACCACATCTCTCTACACTCGTGTCTGTGCAGAATTGGAAACAGAAATGCAAATGTAGACCGAAATATCCAAACTGTAGAAATTCTCTAACTTAGCCAGGTTTCCCAGTGTGGATGCTTTGGCATAATACATGCAGTTATTGGTTTATTCCCTTTGTGTCCCTATCACTATACTCCCCTGGGATTATAATCACTAGCTCCTGCTTCGCTCTCTGGAGTAGGAGAGGTTCACCCACGGGAAGCTGTATCCTGGTCTTGGGTCCAGAGCAGGTGGAGGACTGAGTTCCCAGCCAATCTGTAAAGCTGGACGTGGTGACTGCGGTATTGATGGTGTCGGGTGGAGTGCTTGGAGTGCTCGGTAAGCACTAGGAGCAATCACTGATGAAGGTACCCAGTCGGGGGGCCAGACGGTCCATCACAAAGAGTTCACCAAATGAATGAAATATATGAAAAGTAGTATATATTTGTATATGTAACTAAAAGAAAAATTTAAACAAATACATAAAATAAAGTGATGGACTTCGAGAATTATAAAGAGAGCATTGGAGATCTGGGCATCTTGGATCACAAATGGTTTTAAAAGATTAAAATAATCTCGGACAACTGTAATTACCCACTTTATACATAGATACTAGCCGTGAGCATTTAGGTTTAAATTAATTGCAATTAGCAATTTATCCAAAATATCGAAATCAATAACGCTACGTGGGCAAATCATAAACCAATCAGAGAATGGATTAAACCAGTTCGTTAATTTTGTGATTTGGTGATTGAAGATGATTGATGGTTAGGGAACAGCCAAGAAATGTTGATTTTATTCACAAACCACATCACAAGTGACCAATGGAGGGAGAAAGAGTAAGAACTTTAAAAAAAAAATGTATATATATATAAAAAGATGGATTTTTTTTACTGCTCCTCCTATTCTATTTCTTTTTCTAACTTGATCTGTGATCCAAATGGAGCATGACATTAGTGATGTCCCGAACGGTTCACCGCGAACAGTTCGCCACGGACTCATCATTGAGTAAACTTTGACCCTGTACCTCACAGTCAGCAGACACATTCCAGCCAATCAGCAGCAGACCCTCCCTCCCAGACTCTCCCACCTCCTGGACAGCATCCATTTTGAAGTTGCATTCTTAGTGAGCTGTCCAGGAGGTGGGAGGGTCTGGGAGGGAAGGTCTGCTGACTGTGAGGTACGGGGTCAAAGTTTACTCAATGATGAGTCCGTGGCAAACCGTTCGTGGCGAACCCTTCAGGACATCACTACATGACATGTGTCTATCTGTGTACTGCATAATAAATATGTAATAATGAAGTGAGATGATTGACCAGTTTTCTGCCATTTTGCTTCATCAGAATATTTTTTTCCAAAATAACTACATGGACACAATGTATCCAAACTAAAACAATCATTTATTGTGATGAGAGTAATCAGACTGCAGGTGGGGCCCGAGGGAGGTTTTAAACCTCCCTTCTAGTAATATGGGGAACTTTTTGACTCACATGGGTTTGTAATTTTCTTAAAGTGGCGTCTGGCTACCATATAACTGGCTACCATATAGGCGGGCTGCCAAATAACTAGCCCTCACCTTGCCATGGCTTATTTAACTATTTGTCCCCTGGGGGCTATTGCACATAGTACTTAAAATAAATTCAAGTTAATGATAATTTAGAAATGTGAATCCTGCTAGATACATTCAGCTTAAAGTGTGCATTGACAAAATATTAGAAGGACACTGTGTCTGTGTTACCGCTTTGTAGACATCAACGGTACAAAAACAAGAAAACAGTGAAAACAAGTGAAAAGAAAAGAGTTCAATTTTGAAAAGCTGACAGAAGATTTATTACCAATGAGTTTTTAGATGGAAACGCTAAAATCTCTGCGTAGCGGACCTATGGTAACCCTTCAGCCGATCAGGAAACACTTGGAGTAGAAAGAGACCCATTTCCCCCAGTAACTGGACAACACAAAGTCCTGGAGGTACAACAAAATTTTATTGGCCACACCCAAATTGTATGCATAACCCCATGCCAGAGGTTTACCACACAAACAGAGAAGGTCACATGCCAAGATCCTCCCCTTCCCTGGGGTCCGAGTGCGGGAAGGGACTCTGTTCCCTTTGTCCCCAAAGCCTGCCACTAAAACATAGGGTTTACCAAACCAGCTGCGAGGGGGTCACAGAAAAGCCCGGCTGCAGGAAAAGAGCTGATCTCTTTGTCCCTCAGGCTCAGGAAAGCCTGACAACTCGCCAGTGCCCCAAAAGTGTCCACACCTATCTCAGGGACCCTCACATGGGTTCCTCGATCGACTAGCCTCAGTTCACGAGGTCCCGGTTTGAAACCCAGACAAGGGAAGCGTCTCCTTTGAGGATACGACTGCTCCCCCTGGCTGGCATTCGTCTATACAAATGGTGGCCACCCAGGGAAGCACTCATTAATTACTTCCCTTGCCGTTTCACACCTATGTTACGAGTGCGAATGTTCTGATTAATTGGTGTGAACGTTCTAATGTGGAGGACCATGTTCAGGAGCAGCCACCCAGGGGAGCGCTCATTATTTGTTTCCCTTACGGCTTGTGGTTTTGACACTTCTGTAGTGAGCTGTGAACATTCTAACCTAACATTCTAAATGAGGTATCGGGGTGGTCCCCATTCGGGAAGCACTCCCGAACGGGAAGTGGGGACATTAAACGAAAATACAGGTGAAACACATGTAAAAGAGAAGGGAGATTCACGAACAGGCAGCGGTTCCGACACACTCTGTCTGACCTTTGTTTGGTGATTATTGATCCCCTTAGGCCATGTTTCATTAACAATGGTTTTCATAGTGTCCATGTGACTTCAGTAAAGAACACAATTCACCTCGAGCTGACCAATTTATTTTATTAGAGTTTGGGCCATGGAGAATGACATGACTTTAGGAATCATATACCATGTGTGACAAAAATAAACTTTAATGTGTCACATGACACAAAATGCAGAGCCTCCCCCCATGCTGAGATATCTGCCTGGCAGTTGCTGATTGGTAATAAAGGTTGTGGTTGTTTGAAAATAAAGGTTATTGCTGTTTTTACCAAGATAGAAGCTGGTTGTCTCTTTCCTTGCTGTAACTATCCAAGATCTGCTTTAATGTAAATGCTGGTGGATAAAGGGACTCAAAGCCCAGGTCATAGCACTTAGTATAATGATCAGCTGTGAAAGTTAGTGGAAGTACCCATGGACATGATTATTGTGTATCATCACAAACTGATGGCAGGCATGGGATAACTTGCAGTACAGTGATCTGAAGAGGCTAAAGTTTATCGGAGATGTACACCAGAGCTCAGAGTGCTGCTGAGGAATGCAACATGGCTGAGTAGCAGAATGGAGTTTCTGAACAACAACCAGAGGCTTCCAGCTTCGCTAATGCAAGGTCAACCAGAGCAATCAGACTGGCCCAGAGAATGCAGGACTACAGGGATGCCACAGGCCTGAGGGAGCTGCTAGCAATCACAGTAGAGGACCTAGCCCGCGAGGATCATGATCATCAGGTGAATGTGACCGCAGCCATGGTTTCCCCATCTAGACAGACAGAGGTCCCCATCTCAAAGTATCAGTGCACAGCTTTTCTATGTTTGATGATAAGAAGGGTTCCTGCATGGCTTTGAGCGGCAATGTGAGCTCAATCGCTTGCCGCCAGATGACTGAGTGCGGGTACTAGGGGGGCTACCAGG